CAGGCTGGAAGATTTTGAATCTAAAGAAACCTGGCTAACAGCAACGCTGCCTGCACTCTTAGAGGAGTAAGTGTAAACCATTTTGAGAAAGGCAGATTTTGTGTTTGTCTCTTGCTTGTAAATGATGATATAGCATTTTGGAAGAAAAGTGCAGCAGAAGATTCCATAGTTAGATATTAAAACAACGATGATTTCCACTGCTGGCAAGTATTTACCAAATGTAGTTGCATAGACAGGGATAAATACGATCCATGCTATAAAGTAAATTAGCATGCCGAAAGTGATGAATTTAGCTTCATTGTAATTCTCTGGCAACTTCCTACCTTTAAAGGCAAATATGAAGCAAATAAATGCTAGGGCAGCGATGTAGCCCAACATAATCCCAAAAGCTACAATGGACCCCTCATTGCATTCCAGTATTATTGCTCTTGGGATTGAGAAATTTTGATTTACAAAAGGTGTGTTAAATATTAGCCAGAAGGTGCAAATGATAACTTGAATTCCAGTGCAGGTGACCACAGTGGGAATAGGTTTATACATGCATTTCAGGAAATTTTGAAGCTTGGGATCAAAGCTGAAAGCTAATAAAATTTTTAGCGACTTTATTAAAATACATGAAATGCAGAGCGTAAAACTTATGCCAAAGAGTGCTTGCCTAGTTTTACATTTGAATTCTGTGGGTACATCTATGAAGAAGACAGTGCTTAAAAAAATTAAGAAGTGGCTGAAGAGAATAATATAGCAGACAGTCAGACCACCAGATGCCTTTACGACTGGTGTGTCCAAGTTTTTGGTAAATATTACACAAACGGACAAAACCAACACAACCCCAAAAGCAGAGAGGAGGAGGAGGAAGATAGCAAACCAGTCAGTCCAGGCAAGGAAATAGATGGTCTTTCTGTAGCACGTGGAGCTGTTGATGGGAGCCCAGTAGGTTTTGTTGTTGCATCGGTAGCAGTAGTCCATGTCTGGAAGCAGAAAAAAAAAAAAGGAAGATGTCTTAGAGCCCCGAAGTTAATAAACTGCAAAGCGGATTGTAGGGACTTGAGATAAAGGAGCAATGTGGGAAGGGATGCTAAAGGGAAAAGATGGGTCTGACTGCTCCTGATTGCGGCCGTCGCTGTCCAGGGGGAGGAGCTGCAGGGCTGCGGTGGCAGTGGCACAAGGAGCTAAGGACAAGTGACTGGAGCAAGCCTTGCCTGCAGCCAGGGGCAAGGAGGGAAAACGACCAGGGTGCTAAAGCGGTCCTGCTCATCACTGACCAGTGAAATGGGGCCTGGCCGGAGCTCTGGACAGGCAAACTTTAATTGCAACCTGAACAATTAATTCTATAATAAAGTAATCAATTCTCTTGCAAAAATTTGAACTATTTTTCTTTAATTTGTCTGTTTTAACAAGAAAACACCCTAAATATTCTTGTTACAGATGGCTTTTAAAATACAACAGCAAGAACAAACATTGCTTTAGGTTATGATTTGAAAGGTACTTTTGTTTTGCAATTCCTATTCTCTGGTATGCAGAAATTTCACAATTAATTGAATAAGAAGATGAAATTAACTTTTCTTCTGCTCTCAGTATATTAAAAGTGCATGCTACCTTAATTTTCTTAATTCCATCTCCTCCATATTTAATTTTCCCCTTTAAAAGATTTTGCTTAAAACAGTGGTAAAGTACACATCAGATTTGATACTAGAAAATATTGCTGTACAGCCATATCAAATTGCACAGTACTCTGAGGTAAGACACAAAATGTGCTGTTAAGCAAAATAAATAACCTTGAATTTCATAGATTCATAGGCTTGTAGAATGGTTTGGGGTT